GTGTGTGTGTGTATGTGTATGCTTGTGTGTGTGTAGTCCTACATTTGCGTGGTCCTGCTGTAATCCTCGTGTGTGTGTGTGTGTGATTATGTGTGTGTGTGTGTGTGTGTGTAGTCCTACATTTGCGTGGTCCTGCTGTAATCCTCGTGTGTCCTCCATGATCCAGACTGTAAACACACACAGATGGAGAGAATGAGCTGTTTAGTTTCCCCCTCAGCTAATAAGCTAAAGCTAGCACTGAGCTGCTCAGCTACATGCTCCAAACTCTTGAGCTAAAACACACAACACTTGTTGGTTGAGCCGGGATGCACAATGAATGTAACACAGTGCGTTCTTTTCCTCTGCTGTTGGTGAAGCGAGTGCAGATACTGCTCATGTTGATGGAGACACCCTGCTGCAACATTCATTTATTACAGTGATCACACTTAGCTTTGCCATCGTTCTTCAGCACATGCAGCCTTTGAGCACATGTTGCAGTCCATCTCTAAACTATGTTCAGATTATTAAAGCTGCTCACCAGTGCCCAAGTTCCTGACAGATTAGCAAGTGAAAAATACACATGTGTGCACAGAGAAGAGGAATCCAGATGTTGATTTTAGAACAAGAGTCTGAACATTAATCCAAGTGTCTGATTCCAGAATCTGAATCCATCTTCAATCCCCAACCCTATTCCTGACCTGATATTGTAGGATTCTTCAGCAGAAATGGAGGAAGAAGTTTCTCTGCTCAGCTCAAATGCTGAAACTGTACAGTGTGTCCCGCTTAATGTCACTGTAACTGAGCCAATACACTCCAACATTTACAGAGGAGATTCATTTCACACTCAATGATTTGCTCTTCATAGACATAACTGGAATACTCTACAAGCTGTATCTTCTGTCTGTCCTCACCCCATAACCCTCACAGAAAACTGAAGCTGATCACAAAAGAGCTTTCTAGTGTCTTTTTAAAACCATTCAGTGTAAAAGCACAAGGCCAGTGCTGCTCCACATACTTGAGTTTGTCCAGTGTGTAGTTTGGATCCTCCAGTTGTTCAGAGAGCAGCTTGACTCCTGAATCTCCTGGATGATTGTAGCTCAGATCCAGCTCTCTCAGGTGTGAGGGGTTTGAAGTCAGAGCTGAAGACAGAAAACCACAGCCTTCCTCTGTCACCATACAGCCAGACAATCTACAAACACAGCAATAGTCCACATCACACAGTTGGACAATCACACATCTCTTTGTGTTGTGAAGATGCTGACTGCTGTTTCTGCTCATGTCAACAGCAGTGATGAACACACACATGTTACCCCAGCACATTTGGGCTCCACATTTGGTAAGACTTAAGGGCTGTTCACACAGAAAGTGATGTTGAATGTTGACACCCACAGACAGACACAACCTGGTAAAGTTTTCAAACAGTGAACTAAGACTGCAACTATTAGTGAAATCTATATTAAAGCTCTTCAAATATGATTTAGATTTACAGTAATTGTTTTTCATGTTTAAATCTGATTTATTCTTGTGTTTAAAGCGTTTGTCATTCCTCTACTTCAGTGTCTCAGACTCATTCAGAAATGATTATTAAATGCTGGATTAATGCACAAGAGAGTTTGGCGAACACGTTTTACACCATTTCAAATATATATTATATGTGCGGCTGTATAAGTCACATACAGCGCTCAGCATAATGGAGGACAGCCCGTTCTGAAAACCAAGACTTTCCTCCATTTCTCAGTCAATATAGGCAGTGTATTCTGCTGCATTTAAACAGAACACATTTGTTAAACTGATTTATTTATGAACATCATATTTTAGTCACCAAACATATTCAGAAATAGAAAGATAATACAATTAAATTCAGGCTAAATACTGCAAAAAAGAAAAGAAAAATAAATTTCAGCAAAATGTTTTATAGTTAATTTTCCTCTTTTTACATTTTGCGTTTAATATTTTTCTATAACATATAAATTTGTCTGTACTAGTTTTTGGACTGTTATCTTAAGTTATTTTGTTAGATGAGCTCCAGATTTGGCTAATCTATTGTATATGCACAAATATAATACTGTAGAGCTTCCTATTAAAATATGAATGTAAAAGAGAGATTAGTGAGGGCTGTACTTATATATGCTGAGCACTGTATATTGTTCACCCAGAGTGTTTACATGGTCACACAGCAGTAACACAACAAGCATTGAGTTTGGGCTAGCTTCTGCAGATGGACATTGCTGTACACTGCCCTTGATGGGTGAGTGGGGGAGTGTCTGTTGTCTCTCAGGTGTGAATTATTCATGAGCATTGTCACTCACACATACAGCTGAGATCACCCAAAACAAACTTAACAAAATGTAGATCATTGTAATGTTTTCTCTGAATGAGCGAACAGAATAATTCCACATAATTGTGCAGTAAATATTCTAGTCTACAAGACTGCTTACTCTAAACTCTTGTTCAGGCACATTCAGTCTGGTTTATGGATCTTATTTCAGATTTTTTTCCTCTAAAACCTACTAACCACACAATATATTTATTTATAAAACACCAGCATGTACATCAATATTTCCCACATATTATTGTAGCTCAGTTTGTGCTGAACACAAATAAAACACATGTTGGCCAGTTCTGTGTAATAAGCAGCTGAAATAAGCACAGATGTCAGGGCAGGTCAAAACATCTCAGGGGCCAAAATCACCTCAGACCCCTGAGGGTTAACTACAGGTATAGTATGAGCAGTGTGAAACACAATCACTGATAAACCAGAATTCCTGTTATCTGGGGTTTAGTATCACCCAGGGTTAACATGTTCAAGCATGAAGAGCTCTAATATGAAACTGTCTGACTGTAGTTATTGTAGAGTGGAGAATCATTTACCTCAGTGTGTCCAGTTTACAGTGTTGACTCTTCAGTCCATCAGAGAGCTTCTTCACTCCTGAATCCTGCAGGTCATTGTTACTCAGGTCCAGCTCTCTCAGCACACAGTTTGAGGATTGTAGAGCTGAAGACAAACTCTCACAGCACTGAACAGTGAGTTTACAGCCCTGTAGCCTGTGTAGAGGACAAACACAATATTGATTGAATATTGTTGATGTGGTGTGTTTAATAGTCTGAGAACATCTGACTGTAGCAGAGATGGCAAAAGTACACACATCCGTTACTTAAGTAGAAGTACAGATACTCATGTTTAAAACGACTCTGGTAAAAGTAGAAGAACTGACTACACTTTTTTCAAGAGTTCACACTTAGATAATGCTTGACTATTTAAGCTAGTTTGGCATGCTGTCCCGGGAGAGAACCCTGAGCTCGGTGATAGATGAGCCCAAGGCTCCCGCCTGGTCAATAAGCATTTGGAGGGATATGAGATCAGGTAGTTCTCGATAGCTTCCCAAAATAGATCACTAGTTGTGCTAGTTTGTAGTAAGTGCTTGTGACTTTACTTTTGTTGCATAGTTTTTGAGTGTGGGAGGAAACCGGAGTACCCGGGGAAAACCCACGCGAACACGGGGAGAACATGCAAACTCCGCACAGAGAGTATCGGTTGGCTCAGCTAGTGTTGAACCAATGACCTCCTTGCTGTGGGGCAACAGTGCTAGCCACCAAGCCACCGTGTCGCCCAAACTGAGGAGGAGGGAGAAGGGATGGATGGGGGGGGGTTTCCAAAACGAAGATGAGGATTGAAGTTTAGGCTGGATATTTATATTGAATTTAGAGTGATCCGATTGGCTAGTTAGTGATTAGTGATAGGGATCAGCTGTAGTCAATCCTATCACATGTTCCTCTCGAAATTAGTTTGAGAAACTTCACTTCAAGAGTTCACACTTAGATAATGCTTGACTATTTAAGCTAGTTTGGCATGCTGTCCCGGGAGAGAACCCTGAGCTCGGTGATAGATGAGCCCAAGGCTCCCGCCTGGTCAATAAGCATTTGGAGGGATATGAGATCAGGTAGTTCTCGATAGCTTCCCATAAATGCTATTGTGTCGGGACAGCAGCCGCGTATTCGAAGAACGCCCCCCCAAAAGCTAGAAATTGCTATATCCGGCTGCTGGATATAGTGGTTTGAGGAGAAAGAAAGAAATGAAAAGGTAGAGGAGATGTGGGCTCTGTAAGAGCCCAGACGTGAAAAGAGGAAACTATCTCCGATGGAGATAATATATAAATGAACAACATAGGTAAAGTGCTATGCTGGAGGGTGGGCAGTGACATGACTCGTGCTCGTAGTCACAGCTCGAAAGTTGAGCTATCAAAGCAGGTTCCAGCAGGAGTCGGAAAAAGAATTTTTGGGCAGTGAAGGCTCCGACTATAAAAAATGGGGGTTTGAGCTCTAGGACCGCCTTTGCAGTAGCTAGAGCTTAGGGGTGACAGCGTTATGAAATAATGTATATGTCCGCATGCACAGGTACATGCGGGCATAGATACATAACATATATAGGCATATAACCATTCACACATATGCACTCGTGCCATGCACATGCACACGTACACATGCACGCATGCACACACACACACACATACATACAAATACACGCACATACACACGTACGCACGTATATATACACATGCACACATATAAGAACACTTAGTAGTCACAGCTCGGGAAGTTGAGCTATCAAAGGCTGGTTCCAGCAGAAGTCGGAAAAGGGGAATTTGGGCAATGAAGACTCCTACTGGTTGGAAAAATAGATGTTTAAGCTCTGGAACAGTCCCTGCGGTTGCCAGAACTTAGGGGTGACAGCACTATGAAAATAAAATATATGTCTGCGTACATGAGTGCACGCAGGCATATCAATATATGTTATTCATATAGGCACATATTAATGTATATGCACACATGCCGTGTACATTCCTCATATGTGCGTATATGAACAGGCAAATCAATATAAAATAAATAAAAGATCTAGGGCTCGAGGAGAGGGGGCAGTGACGTGACTCGTGCTCGTAGTCACAGCTCGGGAAGTTGAGCTATCAAAGGCTGGTTCTAGCAGGAGTCGGGAAAAGGGGAATTTGGGCAATGAAGACTCCTACTAGAGGGAAAAAGGGGTTTTAAGCTCTGGGACTGCTCCTGCGGTGGCCAGAGCTTAAGGGTGGCAGCACTATGTATGAATGTATATGTCCACGTACGTGGGTGCACGTGGGCATATAATTATGTTGTTCATATAGGCATATATATACACGTGCCATGTGCACTCTTCATATATGCGTATATAAACAGTCAAAACAAATATAAAATAAGCAAAAGAGCTAGGGCTGGAGGCGGGGGGCAGTGACGTGACTCGTGCTCGTAGTCACAGCTCGGGAAGTTGAGCTATCAAAGGCTGGTTCTAGCAGGAGTCGGGAAAATGGGAATTTGGGCAATGAAGACTCCTACTAGAGGGAAAAAGGGGTTTTAAGCTCTGGGACCGCTCCTGTGGCGGCCAGAGCTTAGGGGTGGCAGCACTATGTATAAATGTATATGTCCACGTACGTGGGTGCACGTGGGCATATAATTATGTTGTTCATATAGGCATATATATACACGTGCCATGTGCACTCTTCATATATGCGTATATAAACAGTCAAAACAAATATGTAAAATAAACAAAAGACCTAGGGCGGGAGGCGGGGGGCAGTGACGTGACTCGTGCTCGTAGTCACAGCTCGGGAAGTTGAGCTATCAAAGGCTGGTTCTAGCAGGAGTCGGGAAAAAGGGAATTTGGGCAATGAAGACTCCTACTAGAGGGAAAAGGGGGTTTTAAGCTCTGGGACTGCTCCTGCGGTGACCAGAGCTTAGGGGTGGTAGCACTATGTATAAATGTATATGCCCACGTACGTGGGTGCACGTGGGCATATAATTATGTTGTTCATATAGGCATATATATATGTGCCATGTGCACTCTTCATATATGCGTATATAAACAGTCAAAACAAATATAATATAAACAAAAGAGCTAGGGCCGGAGGCGGGGGGCAGTGACGTGACTCGTGCTCGTAGTCACAGCTCGGGAAGTTGAGCTATCAAAGGCTGGTTCTAGCAGGAGTCTGGAAGGGAGGGAGGGATTAAAAGACTCCTGTGAACAATGTTAGGAAGGGTTGGGGGGGGGGGTTGGGGGGGGGGGGGGGGTCAGTACAGCAGTACATGAGTTATAGGCTAACATGATGACTCCTTATGGAAAGGGTCTTCTGGGCTTCTTTAAGATAACTCCGGCTGAGGCAGATGTATGACTTAAATGGATCTGACGACCACCTTCCTGGAGCCTGGATGTGATGTTGTGGTAGTCCTTTATATGCTGCAGTAGTGGTGGCTTTGATGCTAAATGAACGGCTGTCATATGATTCTGGTGCAAAGCTCCTAGAGATGCATGCTGGTGGAAATCGACAGGAGAGAATATCAGCTGAGCTTCCCTGAGGTGGTATTATTCTCCTGTGGTGTAAAAATGCTAAGAGAGTTTGGACTGGGTGTGAGGGAGGGTATATCAAACTGTATGCATGATGTCCTTTGCAAAATTGATCTATTTTGCTTGCTTAATAAGAAAGATGGTATTTCTTCATCCTGCCAAGTTGGTTCAGATATGGTGAGGTGATTGTGGGATTAGATGTTAGTTTAAAATATCTCAGAACTGAAAGGCTAGTGTAAATATGGCATCAAGGGTATGGGCTAAGTGAGTGGAAATGCATACTTTGTGTAGAGTATAGTTGTATTTGGAATGTATATAGAATATAATGGGTTGGATGAGGGTCAGATTCTGCAGCCAAATTTCATGGTTTCTGAAATGAGAAATGAGAGAATCAGATAAAGATTACAACATGGTGCATGTACAACAGACATAATAAATTGTTTTAGCTGATATCCATGCGAGGCATCTTATTAAGGGTGTGGACAACTGTAAATGGATGCCCCTTTTGTTAATGCATGGTCCGATAGCTGGTTGTCGCGATGTGCAAGGATGGTAGAGGTGGGCATTCGTCCCCCCGCATGATGGCAGATGGATGGAAAGCTGAGGATATGTGTTGTGGCTTGTCTGGTTGTCCTGGAAGTATCTATTGAAGATCCATCTGTCAAATATCCTCCTTCTATAGCAGCCAAGCAAGAAGTTTGTTTTCTTTGCCGTTTTACATCTAACTGACTTGCCATTATAAGTTTACGTATGACAATTTGTATATCAACACGTGAGTCACTGGCGTATTACGATTGGACTTCTGTGCTCGAAGTGTATGATGTTTTTCAATACCTGGGTAATGTTCACTGGTTGGGTAATAATCTTTTCTTAGTTAATTGGCTTTCAGATGTAACTTTATTTGTTTATTTATATTATTATTATTATTATTTTTTATTATTATTATTTTTTTATTATTATTATTATTATTATTATTTATATAATCATTTATTTATTTATTTTGATTATTATTATTACTATTATTTATTTATTTATTTTATTGTTATTATTATTATTTTTTTTTATTATTATTATTTATTTATTTTTATTTATTTATTTATTTATTTATTTATTTATTTATTTATTCATTTATTTATTTTTTATAATAAAATATCAACTGCTAACATCAAACTCTGAACTTAATAAGACTTCAAAACGATATCACCACTTAGTAAAACTGTGAATGAAATGTTAGTAATGGCTTATTTTAATCCATGAATATTTGTTGAAATCTTAACTTAACTAAATTCACAAGCGTGTCTGGCCAAATCATTCATAAGGTCTTTGCAACAGAGTCAAGAGAGAGGGCGGGACCATCTCCAGTTTTTTAGAGCTCATTGGATGGTGACGGTTATAGCTATTGGCTTAAAGGAGTGTCAATCAGGCCCTGCCAAAGGTGCAAAAGCCCAGCGGCCATTTTGTTGAATAAAAGTCCCCATTGTTTATGACTGGAGCTGCTGTTCTGCTGAACACATTCCAGCAAACAAGCTGTAAATGTTATGGATCTGTGGACAGGCAGGAGGATTGTGAGGCAAATGTCTTGGTTAAATTCATTGTTCACGCTAGTCTTGTTATTCAAAAGATTTATAAATGTTTAGTCTAAATGTTTGGCTGTAGTTATTTTGCAAAGTTTTCCTTTAAGGCATGCATACTATGTACGTTACCACATGTGCACCGCTAGGAGGCGAGGGTTCAGATTCCATGCAGCATTCATTGAGGAGGCACTTTAAAGTAGAAGGTTTGATGTTGTTGTTGATGAATTGTTGTTGTTTTGAATTAGTAGTAGTTTATGTTATTGCTATAGATTGTGGATTGTAGATTTAATCTTGTAGTAGATTGTAGCTTCTGGCTTGTAGCTTGTGGTGATTGTAGCTTGTGGTAGCTTGTAGCGGCTTGTAGCATGTGGTGGCTAGTAGCTTGTGGTGGCTAGTAGCTTGTAGTGGCTAGTAGCTTGTGGTGGCTTGTAGCGGCTTGTAGCATGTGGTGGGTTGTAGCTTGTGGTGGCTTGTAGCGGCTTGTAGCTTGTGGGCTGCTGATAAGCGGAGCGAAGCAGAGTGGTTTCCAAAACGAAGATGAGGATTGAAGTTTAGGCTGGATATTTATATTGAATTTAGAGTGATCCGATTGGCTAGTTAGTGATTAGTGATAGGGATCAGCTGTAGTCAATCCTATCACGTGCTCCTCTCGAAATTAGTTTGAGAAACTTCACAAAAAAGTACACTTTTAAAAAAAAAAGTAAAACGTAGCAGTTTCAACCACAGTCCAAATACACGCAGTATAGGGGAATAATAGGTAACTAAATAGGCAGTAGTGTATAAGTGTGTGTGTGAATGGGTGTTTCCCAGTACTGGGTTGCAGTCGGAAGGGTATCTGCTGTGTAAAACATATGCTGGAATAATTGGCGGTTCATTCTGCTGTAGGAACCCCTGATAAATCAGGGACTAAGCTGAAGGATAGTGAGTGAGATAGGTAGGTAACTAGTCCTCTCATACTATTGATACAATATTATAAACTAACCTACATTTACAATTTGTATGTAAAATGTTTGTTGCCAATTTTCTGAAAGAAGCCAAGCAGCATCTCGCCCTGTAATACTGTACAACTTTGCTCATAAAGTCGGCTCATGTATCATCATCATCCTGACGCAAACTCACAGCGTTCAGCATCAAGTTTTGTGGCCGTTAGATCAAAAACATCAGCTGCTATTCACGTTCATACACTCTAATAATAATTCTGTAGGCCTGTCTGTCTTTATAAATAATATCTTACATTTAACACTGAATACTTCCCACAAAAAATAAATAAATTATATATATATATATGTATACACACACACACACACACACACACACAGGAAAATACTATTTAAAATAATTCTGTAGCATCTTTAAACTTTGCATCTCAAAGCACTTTTCAAAATAAAGCGAAACAGATGCATATATATCAGAAACAAAGAAATTAAATAACAAAAACATGGAGAGAACATGTAAACTCCACACAGAAACCACACATGTAAGAACAGTATTCATCTGAAAATGCAGGAGTCTGCAATTATTTAGCAAACCATTGATTAAAATCATTTACCTCAGTGTGTCCAGTTTACAGTGTTGACTCTTCAGTCCATCAGAGAGCTTCTTCACTCCTGAATCCTGCAGGTCATTGTTACTCAGGTCCAGCTCTCTCAGCACACAGTTTGAGGATTGTAGAGCTGAAGACAAACTCTCACAGCACTGAACAGTGAGTTTACAGCCCTGTAGCCTGTGTAGAGGACAAACACAATATTGATTGAATATTGTTGATGTGGTGTGTTTAATAGTCTGAGAACATCTGACTGTAGCAGAGATGGCAAAAGTACACACATCCGTTACTTAAGTAGAAGTACAGATACTCAAGTTTAAAACGACTCTGGTAAAAGTAGAAGAACTGACTACTCTTTTAAAAAAGTACACTTTAAAAAAAAGTAAAAAGTAGCAGTTTCAACCACAGTCCAAATACACGCAGTATAGGGGAATAATAGGTAACTAAATAGGCAGTAGTGTATAAGTGTGTGTTTGAATGGGTGTTTCCCAGTACTGGGTTGCAGTCGGAAGGGTATCTGCTGTGTAAAACATATGCTGGAATAATTGGCGGTTCATTCTGCTGTAGGAACCCCTGATAAATCAGGGACTAAGCTGAAGGATAGTGAGTGAGATAGGTAGGTAACTAGTCCTCTCATACTATTGATACAATATTATAAACTAACCTACATTTACAATTTGTATGTAAAATGTTTGTTGCCAATTTTCTGAAAGAAGCCAAGCAGCATCTCGCCCTGTAATACTGTACAACTTTGCTCATAAAGTCGGCTCATGTATCATCATCCTGACGCAAACTCACAGCGTTCAGCATCAAGTTTTGTGGCCGTTAGATCAAAAACATCAGCTGCTATTCACGTTCATACACTCTAATAATAATTCTGTAGGCCTGTCTGTCTTTATAAATAATATCTTACATTTAACACTGAATTCTGCCCACAAAAAATAAATAAATTATATATATATATATGTATACACACACACACACACACACACACACACACACACACACACACACACACACACACAGGAAAATACTATTTAAAATAATTCTGTAGCATCTTTAAACTTTGCATCTCAAAGCACTTTTCAAAATAAAGCGAAACAGATGCATATATATCAGAAACAAAGAAATTAAATAACAAAAACATGGAGAGAACATGTAAACTCCACACAGAAACCACACATGTAAGAACAGTATTCATCTGAAAATGCAGGAGTCTGCAATTATTTAGCAAACCATTGATTAAAATCATTTACCTCAGTGTGTCCAGTTTACAGTGTTGACTCTTCAGTCCATCAGAGAGCTTCTTCACTCCTGAATCCTGCAGGTCATTGATACTCAGGTCCAGCTCTCTCAGCACACAGTTTGAGGATTGTAGAGCTGAAGACAAACTCTCACAACACTGAACAGTGAGATTACAGCTCTGTAGCCTGTGTAGAGGATAAACACAATATGTATGAGTTAATCTGGTGTGTTTAATAGTCTGAAGCACATCTGACTGTAGTAACTGGTTTAACTTCACTAATTAGTGAGCACATCTGCTGATTTTAGCTTTTAATAGGATTTATGTTTATGCAACTACAGTAAATGGTTTCCTTCAGATGTCTGAATAGTCCAAGAAATATTTTTATCAAAAGACGAGAAAATCACGCAAAAAGGTCCACAGATGACAGACAATAAAACACATGAACAAAAGTAAATAATAATCATTTCCTTTAGCACATTTAAATGTTGCATATTAACAGACAAATAAAAGCAAACAGAGATAGACATCATAGAAATACAGAAAATACATGATTATATTGATCAGTGCCAGTGATGAGGACTGCCTCACCCGTGAATGCAAAATTTAGGAACACATTATATCTCTGTGCTCAGCTGTTTATCCTGATCCACAGGATCTGCTCTGGTTTACTGTCCAGTAGTCCATGGCTTTGCCTTGTCCTCCTGCCTGTCAGTTTCCCCTCACCTGCCATGTACCCTGTCATGTCATTTACCTGCCTCTCCTCCATGTCTAGGCCCACACGGAATCTGCGCGCAGAATTCTGCAGATTTTTAGCCCATCATTAATTCTGCTTATTACTTGAGTAAATGTGTGTAAATCTAAATGTATTTTTTTTTAATTAATTACAGTAATATTATTGAATAATGTGAAAATGTTCATCTGATTTATGCACAATGCAGTGTGTACAGTAAAATTTTCAGTCTTTTAGTAGAGATATTATATAAGAGACTTGCTTTGTTTACCAAATAAAGTGAATCTGATTAGATTTGCAATTTAAACATTACAAAAACGTTAAAAAGGTATTACTTTTTATTTCACTAATTAAGGATTTAGTTATGATACTCCCAAAATAATTCTGCAGAAATCCGCCGATTTTTACCAAAATTCTCTGCAGAAATAGCAAAAAACATCTGCAGAGTCCGTCTGGCACTGGCCATCACCCTTGTCCACTGTAACACCTCCAGCTGCCGAACTCACTCTTGTTATGTGTTTTCCTCTGAGGATCATCTGGAGTCTTCTCCTAGAAGGGAGCTGTGTCACGGTCCTGGTTGGCCAGTCCGTGTATTATGTTGTCCTTGTGTTCTCCATGTTACACCTGTTAGTTGCCCAGTTACTCTTCACCCCCTTGTTAACTCACTAGTCTCTGTGTGATTAAGCTCCTCTGTTTCAGTCACTGTGTGTTGATCATAGTTTGCTGTATGTGTGTGTGTGTCTCTCTTGTCTGTGTTTTCTGCTCTTCAGCTCTGGCGTTTTCTTTGTGTTTAGATTACATTAAACATTAGAACTGCACCTGAATCTAACATTGGCTTTGCTTGCACGATTAGAGGAAGATATAATGAAGAAGAGGGCAGCACAGTGGTTCAGTGGTTAGCACTTTTGCCTAACAACAGGAAGGTCACTGGTTTGAGTCCCAGCTCCAGTTTCCTCCACAGTGTGCCCAGGTGAAAAAAATATATAATTAAATGCAACTAAAATACACTTAAATACCCGCAAATACATTTTTAGTACATTGTTATTTTTTTGTGTTAAATAAAAGTTTGATGGTTTTACACTATAAATATACTCATTACAAGTGTTTATACTTCAGTAGGACTTTAGTACACTTGACAAAAGTATACTAAATACCAGTAATTCAATAAAGTACACTACAGAAAAAACATCCAAAAGACTTATTAGTGTGTTTTAAAAGTGTGCTTTAAATGCTTTAAACATGAGTTGATTTTTAGTACACTGTTGACATACTAATCCTAAGTTTAAAAAAAGTGAATATATTAAAAATCTATTAGTAATGTATTGTAGTAGAAGTACATTTTCCCAAAAGTTGTACTTGAGTACACTTAATGTGAATGCAATATTATCACTAACACTTAAACTGATTTTGAGTGTGGTAATTTTAAGTTTTTAAGTAATTTTAAGTACAAGTACATTTTCCCAAAATGTCTTTCATATATGTGCTGTAATGTTGCATCTTATTTACATTTTTGTGTTCTCAGTTTTTGCTAAGTTTTTGTTCCCTTCCATAAGGCATTTTTTGGACTTGTGGTTTATTGCACAAAAATATTAAAGTGTTTTGATGAACCACAGATGCTGTTTTCTTTGTACACACATTATCCCAGGTAAAAAAAAAAAAAAAAGTGCACTAAAATGCACTTTATTTAAGTATACTTAGTACATTTTTCAGTAATGTACTAAAAAGTAATGTTTTTCAGTAATGTATTTTCGCACACTAATTTTGTACTTAATGTACTAAAATATAGTATTAAGTATATGTTAAGATAAACTTAATACCATCTAAGTGTACTCAACTGTGCTATTTTGAGACACCCTGAAATTGAATTAAAATGTTTTAAACATACTATATCTGTATTTTAAAAATATTTTTAGTTACAACTAGAAATACACTTGAACCCTAATTTTAAACATTTAAATATATTTATGACTAATTTAAAGTATAATAGTAATATATTAAAGAAATATACAAATTGTAAAAAAAAAAAAAAAAAAAAAAGTGTGCTAAATACTGTACTGTTACTTATGCTGTTACTTTAGAGGTATTTCTCCCAAACATTTAATGAACTTATAACTGAGGAGTATAGGAACAGATATCGATCAAAACTCTACATTGAGTCATTAATGATGAATGTGATCCGTTCTTACATTTAGAAATAGTCTAAATTTGATGGTCACTTAAAATTGGAGTCAGATTAAATTTAGAGCTAAAAAACAAATATAAATAAATTCTAATAAATAGCAAAATTCTATTCAGAAGCACTAGAGGCTTACATGCATTTAACTTTTGACCATGCTGTTAGTTTCATCATTGGGCTAATAGATGGACTCCTACAGATGAAAGAAAGAAGGACTTTAACTCACAGAGCTCTTTTGGAGGTTTTGATGACTGCTGATAGTCTGATGAGACACTCGTCCGATCTCTGGAATTTCTGAAGCTCAAACTCCTCCAGCTCCTCCTCTGAGGTCAACAACACAAAGACCAGAGCAGACCACTGGGCAGGTGAGAGGCGAGCAGATGACAGACTTCCTCTACTGAGGTGAGACTGAATCTCTGTCAGCAGAGTTTGGTCGTTCAGTTCATTCAGACAGTACAACAGATTGATGGATCTCTCTGGAGACAGATTCCCTTCAAGTTTCTGCTTGATGTAGGCAATTATTTTATTTTTGCTCTGGTCTCTGTCATCCTGCTGTGTCAACAGGCCTCGTAAGAGTTGTCGACTGGACTGGAGTGACAGACCGAGAAGGAAGCGAAGGTAAAGGTCCAGATGTCCATTCTCACTTTCCAGAGCCTTGTCCACTGCAGTCTTCAGGAAATCAATCATGGACTCATCTCTGCTGTTTTCTGCTTGTGTCTTGTCATTGTCGAGAAACAGCTGTTGATAAAGGGCTGCAATGAACTCCTGAATGCTCAAGTGAAGAAAGCAGTACATGGTACCAAGAATGATTCCCGTCTCCTCCTTAAAGATCTGGGTACACATGCCTGAGTACACCGATGCCTTATAGACGTCAATGCCACAGTCTTTCAGATCGCTCTCATAGAAGATCACATTGTTTCTTTCCAGCTGCTGGAAGGCCAGTTTCCCCAGTGAAAGGATGAGGTCTGGATCCCAGGAGACATCTGCTGTGTTTTCTCCATCATACTTTCTTCTGCTCTGCTGGATCTGAAAGCGGAGAAAGTGTGTGTACATCTGTGTCAGAGTCTTGGGAGATTCCTGCAGTGTTTCAGCATGAGCCCTGTATTTCAGTTTCAGTATGTTCTGGAGAACAGTGGCTGAAATCCAGCAGAAGACTGGGATGTGGCACATAATAAAGAGACTCTTTGACTGTTTAATGTGATCAATGATTTCTCTGGCCTGATTCTGATCTGTGAGTCTCTTTCTGAAGTACTCCTCCTTTTGGGCATCATTGAATCCTCGTATCTCTGTCAGCCGGTCGATACAGTCAGCAGGAATCTTACTGGCAGCTGCTGATCTGCTGGTGATCCAGATGAGAGCAGAAGGAAGCAGATTTCCCTTGATGAGGTTCGTCAGGAGAACATCCAGAGAGACTGCTGAAGATACATCACCACACGTCTCATTACCAGCAAAGTTCAGAGGAAGACGACATTCATCCAATCCATCAAGGATGAACAGGACTTTGAATCGTGTGCTTCTTGTAAGGTTCAGTCCTTTAGTCTCTGGGAAAAACTGAGTTATGAGGTCTTTTAAACTTTGTCTTTCTTTCTCCTTTAAGTTCATCTCTCTGAATGGAAGAGGAAATATGAAGCTGATGTCTTGATTTTCTTTCCCTTCAGCCCAATCCAGAACAAACTTTTGCACAGAGACTGATTTCCCGATGCCAGCAACTCCTTTTGTCAGGACAGTTCTGATCTGCTCGTCTTGTTCAGCTGCTTCAAACAAATGTTTGCATTCAACCTGTATCTCTAGTGACTGATGACGTCTGGAAGCAGTTTCAATCTGTCTGATCTCATGTTCAGTGTTGACCTGTTCACTCGCACCCTGAGTGATGTAGAGATCTGTGTAGATCTTATTCAGAAGTGTGGAGTCTCCTTGCTGAGCAATTCCTTCAAACACACTTTGATATTTCTTCTTCAGGCTACATTTAAGCTGATTAATGAAGAACAGCTCATCTAAGCACAGGAGCAAAGAAACAGAGAGATTTAGGCTTGACTTTTCCAGATTTTTTGTAATTAATATAGATTGCCATGACCCAGAAAACATTGGTCTGATGGCAACTTCATGTGGCTTACCAAAAATGGTTGCAGTAGATCGTAGATCATTTACACACCATTGTAAATAAGTTGTGAAAGGGACCTCCACAAATTATGTCCTTTACACATGCATTGCCAAGGTTATAATAGTTTTGGATTTTTCATTAGCTTTAGTTTTTATTTCGTTTTGACTTTTTGTTTTCAAATTGAGTTTTAATTAGTTTAAGAGGTAGATTTACTAGTTTCTATATATTGAAATTGCTTAGTTTTAGTTTTTTTTTTCTTTTTTTTTTCTAAATGAGGATATTTGCTGTATAATAAAAACTCAGCCATACATTTTTTGAAATCTATATTTAGAGGACACTTGACCACTACCATAAACCACAACCATCTACCCATCCTTAAATTCAAATACTACAGGCAACAAGATAGCAGCCTTAAGTATATGTGTGCAAGTACTCAAAATATTAAAATTATGTAGTCAACAATAGTAATTTTAGTCAGTTAAAACATCACCATGATCTGAAAAAATCACAACTAAAGCATGATTCACTTATTTAAATCACATTACGAGTTTCTGTTATGAAAAAAATTAAGTTTTTCACCAGATCCTCTCATTTAAGCCCTCGGTTTACCTGCGCTGCAGTTGTTTAGGTTTAGTTCATTCACAGCAGGCTTTCATTTACTGTTTGTGTTTGGTTCACTAATTCACACATGCGCTGTATTACCGGTTCACTGCTTCTCAATTTGAACTTAGTGTAACGTTACTGTTCTAATAACAGAATAACAGTATATATTGGATTATTTAGAGTCAGAGGTGGGCTTGGAGTGGATTATTGGATTATTGTTAAAAAGTAAGTAATTTGTGGATGAGTGTAAAACTAATGTACAACATAGATACATATAGGAGTAGGTCAAGACACATCAATTGGAGACCAAAATACAACTTTATTACTCTACCACAGTGGCATGTGTCAAGGTGTCCACAAAAACATTCTTAATCCCCTTTATGTGTTTAATCGTCAAGATTAAGCTTTGACTCTGACACTGCAATGAATGAAGAACTGTCAAAGGATTGTGATAACAAAAAACAACCGTGGACCCTCCTCCCACATATACATCAAAATGTTGAAGTGCCCAGATAAGCAGCAACATTTCCTTCACTGAATAATTCAACAAATATGAATTAAATTTGCATGAGAAGTAACATGTTGGATGACTAAAACCATCAGAATAAGTCTGGAGAAAGACCGCTTCGGCTCCCACGTGACTTGCGTCAACCTGAATGTCAAAGGGAAGACCAATTTGGGGTGCTGCTAACACAGGAGTAGCAGTCAACAACAACTTCACAATCTCAAAAGCTTTATGGCAATATGGACTCCACTCAGAGTTTTTCAATAGATTAGTCAGCGGACAAATAACAGATTTGGCAGAACCCACGATAATAACTGGCCATTCCAATAAACCGCATAAGCTCTTTTTTAGTACAAGGAGTAGGGAAATTCTCGATCGTGCTTGATCCCATGTCCTTGCCCAGATAAGAAACCGGTGCTCGTGCAAATTCACATTTAGCTAAATTCATAGTCAAATTAGCTTCAGCTAAAGGTTTAAATCATTCTCACACCCGTCTCATGTGTTGATCCCAGTTATCGCTGTAAACTATATAATATAATCCTCTAAACCAGAGACTACACAATTCATCAATCTCTGAAATGTCACAGGAGTGTTTTGTAACCCAAAGCTCATGACAGAATAAGAATAAAGCCCTGAAGAAGTTACAATTGCAGTCATTTTCTGCCATTATCCTTTGGGTAAATCAAGTTTACTAACATTTCCTGTCGTGCCCACTTGTCATCTAAAAACTTACCACCCTCCTTGTCTCCCGCAAAAGACTGTCCCAGCGCCTCAGTCACAGGACTGACCACCCCAAATAATTTAATATCAGCTGCTTGACAATCGCAGGTGAAAAAAGGTTTCAGCAAGTGACAGACTTGGGTTTTTTCTTTCTTAAAAAATTCAGTAGCTCATCCGAAGCGCTACACAATTCCTCCACTGATATCATTATCAAACCTATTATCCATTATCAGAAAATAATCAAAATTACCATAACCAATAATTTGACCTATAACCTACTCCAATTACAATTTACGCAGGTAATTCTTATGGCCAAAAACTGAGTACAATTCCGTTACCTCCACAACTAATCTGAACAAAAACCCTCTAAATAACTATTGCTAGTCTTCATGCGCTCCCTAGTGTCAAGCCCTTGAAGCACACAAATACCGCTGGCATGGGACTGAACAATAGTTCAGAACTACCTCACGGCAGTGAACTCGACAATAGATATTGTATAAATATTTGCAAAATGCATGATATTTTATTTATTTACATGTTTGTCAAATTAAAAATGATATAGATATCGTGCACTGAATAATTTTAGCAGGGTAATGATTAAGGATCAATTAATTTTTTTTCCCATCCGACCCAGTTCCTTTCTGTATTATAGGGGATTATATTATTCCAGTAAATCTTTTCCCTGGTGTTACTAGATGGTAAACAAACTATGAACAACTGATCTGTAAAGTGTGAGTTGATATATTAGTTAAGTGTTAGTTATTAGCTTGTGTATGTTACTGGGACGTTATTCTGAAGTTGCAACTATTCCTCATTTACTAACAGTTATTAAATGAAGAGCAGGTGCAACTTTAAGATAACGTCTAAATAACATATATCAACTATTAACTGATACTTAACAAGTCTTTAGTAAGTAATTTACTAACAGCTTGTTCATGATCTACTACTAATGTATTAGGTACAGTTATAAATCCTTTAAATACAGTTAACAAGTGATTTATAACTTGTTAAGTAACAGCTTTTAAGTTATCTGTTGGCTATCTATAAGACAGTTACAAATCATTAACAATTAAAGCATTTTGGATAATTTTTTATACATATTTTTATTTATATAATCGCTGTTTCAGCGGTCAACAGATGTTCAAATGTTTGCTGGGGAGTCTCTTACCCTGGAGAGTATCAGCAGCTTGATCTTGCTTCATCTCTCTCAGGAAGAAGAGTGTGAGATCAAGAGCTGCTTCTCTGATTCTGCTTCTGTTCTCAGTAAACTCCTTTACAAAATCTTGACTGTTTTCTTCCTGTAAGATTTTCTTAAAGTTTCCCAGTTCATTCTTCAGAAATCTGATCATTTTGCTCTCAAGGTTCTATGATTGAAGAAAAGAGAAGATCAATATTTAACGAAATCATTGATTCACACACAGCTATACATCCACAAACCCAATAACTGACAATACATTATACAACATGATCATATGAGTCTGTTAAACTGCATGATTCTGATTAGCTGATGGACATTACATTTGCATATCACTACGCTGAATGATTTGAGATATTTCACAGATACAACAGTTAAAAATCGCATCAAAACTCAACAAAAGAAAGCTTTGGGCGAGATGTTTAGGGAGCAGATTGAGGAAAAATACCTGATAAATATTTAAATACACAAATAAATGGACATAATTAAATGTGTTTATTTAAACTGTGATTTTAAATGTCATTTAATAAAGCAATAAAACAATGCATTCATACATATCTTTTAAATGTACAAATGACGTTACTATGGTCAGGCGAGCTTCTTAAAAAAATAAATAAAAAATCTCTTTATAACACAATGGAGTTTACAGCCGAGTCCACTAGTCAAGCTGCACCAGCCTTTCTCCTCATCTGCTCACCGATGACTTCAGAATAGTGCTCTATCTGTTGAGCAACAGTATGTTCATTAAAAGAAAAATCTGATTCATTCACATTTAACTCAAACGTTTCATCTCAGTTTGCTTTTTTGTAATTTAACAATAAAACAAATGAAAGGGTATGTTAAATTTGAAATAATAATGTGTTTTAAAGGTATCACCCCTGCCCTGCCCAACAAACCCTCTCTTAAATGGGATGACATGTCATATTAAAGGTTACCATACACCAACTTTGGCCAGTGGGTGCTAGTTTGGGCATCTCTGCTCTCAACTGTTCTTATCAGCTAAATAAGCACAGGATTTTAGTTTGGTATGTTGCATGTTGTTTGTCAATAGATGCAGTTGTCATATCCTGATATTTGTAATGTATATTTCTTAAAACAGGCCGATGTCAGACTAGACTCCAGCTATTCTGAGTAAAACTGGTTAAAATATAAATATGTTTAATATATGTGTCTCATATGTGTCTGTAAATGACTGAGAGACCTCAGAATGACCAAGAGATATTATTTTAATATAAGAAAAACTAAAGCAGCACAGACTATTAGGATTATTCATTTTGTAGACACTTTTAGTTGGGTCAGGGGCCAACCAAAACAGATTACAAGATCCAGTTCTCAAGTGTTGTGAATGAATATTCTGTGTTTCATTGAGTTATCTCAGTGACGTTAATGAATCTAAATGAGTTTTTTCCCACCTGGAAGATGGACTGGAGATTGTCTGTGAAACTCTTGTGTCTCCTGTGAGTCTCGTCTCCTGAAGCTGCTGACTCATATTCAACACTGTTAACAGATAAAACTACTGTAAATACACATTTGGAGGCAAACAGATACAGATATATCTTACAAACACTGAAAATATTACATGTGCTGTAGTGCTCATAATGAGGAGACAGCAGGGGTGGACTGGGACAATATTTCAGGCCGGGGAATTCTCTGACTGCTAATATTGTACTCTATTGTAAATGTATTATTTATTGTACCATGTAGACTACCAGACAAATTATTAATATATAAATTAATGAATCCTCAAAAACTCAAAAGGCTCAAAACTTCTGCACACACTATTTCTATTTCTAATCCATATATTAGATTTTTGGTTTGCTTGTTTGTTACATAAAAACCTTGACTTACTAAGACATGATGCAGCAATTCTATTTACTTTTATTTTACAAATTATTTTTTTTATTTCATTTATAGACTATGGCTATATAAAAGCACATGCTGTAGCCTACTGCATTAGACTAAACGAGACATATTGTTGCTCATTCCCTAATTGTAATTTTTTTTTTATTTGTATCTACTGTAAGTTAATTTAGATTAATTTAGCTTGCCAAATGATTATATACAGTTAAAGTTAGAATTGTTAGAATTATTATCACATTAAACACTTTAAACAACGCACACTGATCACTGTAAACACCACACACTGATCACTCTAAACACCACACACTGATCACTTTAAACAGCACACACTGATCACTTTAAACACCACACACACTGATCCCTTTAAACACACCACACACTGATCACTTTAAACAAATCACACACTGATCACTTTAAACACCACACACTGATCACTGTAAACACCACACACTGATCACTTTAAACACCACACACTGATCACTTTAAACACATCACACACTGATCACTTTAAACACCACACACTGATCACTTTAAACACCACACACTGATTACTGTAAAAACCACACACTGATCACTCTAAACACCACACACTGATCACTTTAAACACCACACACTGATCACTTTAAACACCACACACTGATCACTTTAAACACCACACACTGATCACTTTAAACACCACACACTGATCACTGTAAAAACCACACACTGATCACTCTAAACACCACACACTCATCACTTTAAACACCACACACACATCACTGTAAACATCACACACTGATCACTTTAAACACCACACACTGATCACTTTAAACACCACACACTGATCACTTTAAACACCACACACTGATCACTGTAAAAACCACACACAGATCACTCTAAACACCACACACACTCATCACTTTAAACACCACACACTGATCACTGTAAACGCCACACACTGATCACTGTAAACACCACACACTGATCACTTTAAACACCACACACTGATCACTTTAAACACCACACACTGATCACTTTAAACTCTGCACACTGATCACTTTAAACACCACACACTGATCACTTTAAACACCACACACTGATCACTTTAAACACCACACACTGATCACTTTAAACACCACACACTGATCACTTTAAACACCACACACTGATCACTTTAAACACCACACACTGATCACTTTAAACACCACACACTGATCACTTTAAACACCAAACACTGATCATTTTAAAGACCACACACTGATCACTTTAAACCCAGCACACTGATCACTTTAAACACCAAACACTGATCCCTCTTAACACCACACACTGATCACTTTAAACTCCGCACACTGATCACTTTAAACACCAAACACTGATCACTCTTAACACCACACACTGATCACTCTTAACACCACACACTGATCACTTTAAACTCTGCACACTGATCACTTTAAACTCCGCACACTGATCACTTTAAACACCACACACTGATCACTTTAAACACCACACACTGATCACTTTAAACACCACACACTGACACAGTAAACACCACACACTGATCACTGTAAACACCACACACTGATCACTCTTAACACCAAACACTGATCACTCTTAACACCACACACTGATCACTCTTAACACCACACACACTGATCACTGTAAACACCACACACTGATCACTTTAAACACCACACACTGATCACTTTAAACACCACACACTGATCACTTTAAACACCACACACTGATCACTGTAAACACCACACACTGATCACTTTGAACACCACACACTGATCACTTTGAACACCACACACTGATCACTTTAAACACCAAACACTGATCACTCTTAACACCACACACTGATCACTTTAAACTCCGCACACTGATCACTTTAAACACCAAACACTGATCACTCTTAACACCACACACTGATCACTCTTAACACCACACACTGATCACTTTAAACACCACACACTGATCACTTTAAACACATCACACACTAATCACTTTAAACACCACACACTGATCACTTTAAACACCACACACAGATCACTTTAAACACCACACACTGATCACTTTAAACTCCGCACACTGATCACTTTAAACACCAAACACTGATCACTTTAAACACACCGCACACTGATCACTTTAAACACATCACACACTGATCACTTTAAACACCAAACACTGATCACTTTAAACACACCGCACACTGATAACTTTAAACACATCACACACTGATCACTTTAAACACTGCACACTGATCACTTTAAACACATCACACACTGATCACTTTAAAAACCACACACTGATTACTTTAAACACTGCACACTGATCACTTTAAACACATCACACACTGATCACTTTGAACACCACACACTGATCACTTTAAACAGCACACACTGATCACTTTAAACACCGCACATTGATCACTTTAAAAACCACACACTGATCACTTTAAACACCACACACTGATCACTTTAAACAGCACACACTGATCACTTTAAACACCACACACTGATCACTTTAAACAGCACACACTGATCACTTTAAACACCACACACTGATCACTTTAAACAGCACACACTGATCACTTTAAACACCACACACTGATCACTTTAAACAGCACACACTGATCACTTTAAACAGCACACACTGATCACTTTAAACACCACACACTGATCACTTTAAACAGCACACACTGATCACTTTAAACACCACACACTGATCACTTTAAACACCACACACTGATCACTTTAAACACCACACACTGATCACTTTAAACACCACACACACTGATCACTTTAAACACCACACACACTGATCACTTTAAACACAGCACACACTGATCACTTTAAACACCACACACACTGATCACTTTAAAAACCAAACACTGATCATTTAAACACCACACACTGATCACTTTAAACACACCGCACACTGATCACTTTAAACACCACACACTGATCACTTTAAACACATCACACACTGATCACTGTAAACACCGCACACTGATCACTTTAAACACCACACACTGATCACTTTAAACACATCACACACTGATCACTTTAAACACCACACACTGATCACTTTAAACAGCACACACTGGTGCTGTGGATGGATGATAACTGCCCACTAAGCCTACAAGTAGGTGCAGAAGGTCCCTATTTAACCATATCTATCAGCTGATAACCACTGATAATGCCCATTCAATAGAGTGATCATTTGAGTGAACATTTGATTGGGAGTCGCATTGTGCCATCTACAGTTCTGAAGGTTGTTGTGATCTTATACCTGTTAAATGTTTTGCCATCAATAAGAAAATCATAATTCTCTGCATCTCTGCTGTCTGAATCTTCAGCATGTGTTTGCTCTGCTTCTGTCTTCTGTCAGCTCACTTTCTGACTGAATATAGTTTTTAATTCTTACATTAATCTCCAGATCATACAAGCGTATGCTCCCAGAGTTCAGTAACAGCACTGTAATATTGCTGAACTTTATTAAGATAAAAATTAACAAAGAAGATCTGAATACATTTTTATCTTAAATCAGAATCTCTTTTGACCATAATTATCAGGTGAAATGTGGTGTGTTTGTCTCACACAACTTGTTCATTACCAGTGTCTAAAATCTCTTTCTTTTCCCACACTTTGCTGACTATTGTATAAGCCTGTAAACTCACTCTACTAACTCTAACAGTTTGAGTATTAATGCTTCAGTCACTTATTACTACTTCAGTACTTCACTAATGATCAGATGTGAGTGTGTGGACATTCAGTTTTAAAGTCTCCTGTAATTGTAATTCAAAGATAATTTCTGATCTTCTAGAAACACAGGATCATATAAATGCTGCAGTGTGATCATGTGTGTGTAGAGATGATCTACCTGACAGCAGGTCGTGTGTTTTCACTCTTAAAATGCATTGGTATATCCATAGATGCGTCACTCTTCATAGACACACAGCTGGGCTCTGCTTCTGCTCTCTTCTGATGAACTGAACTAAAACAGAGAAGATTAAAGTTGAGCGCTGCACACACTGCACAAACCTGATATTAATCATTCTTCATTTACAAAAACACTTAAATTCATTTCCTTTATATTTGAACAGAAATTGTCTAAATGTGGAAAATATCAGCAAACACAGATCAAGGCTCATTTCTAGTAGAGAAAGCCCAACAGAAATGCAGCACTATTAGAGCAGATTAGAGCTGAAACTAATCATCAAATCACTGAATGAAGTCCACAGTGTAGGTGTGGGAGGAGCTTAATCATGCAGGCGTGTCAATCATCATCACATGACTATATAAGCAGCAGTATAAACTGCACTGTGTCAGCTGACTGTTATTCCCGCCTCCAGCAGCTCCCCTCCTCCTCCTCCTCATCACTCAGTCTGCAGAAGGTCACTCATTGTGAGTTTGTCTGCAGAGCTCCAGTCCAGACTTTGAGGACAGCAAGACAAGTTCATTTACCATCATCTATCATGACTGAATGAGCAGGAGAACTCGAGAAATATCAATTCTAGAAACCAAATGTGTTGATCAGCAGCATCTATGAGGCGAACACAACATGATGATGACTGCGCTTCAGTGAAAACAGACTCAGATCAGAGGAATGGCTGATCAGTACAGCACAGAAACAGCAGGGGAAAGTGTGCAGGAAAAGCCCTTTATGGCAGGAGATCGGGAACACTTTAGTTTAGCTCACAATTCACACTATTAACTACCGGCTTATTATCTGTGGAATGTGAACATATGAACTGCTCATTAGTAGTCATACAGTATGATCTTATTGTGGATCCCTAACCCTACCCAAAACCTAAACCCACCTTCTACCTCACTAACTATTAATAAAGCGCTGATTGGTTTGTTAACACCATCAATTGTGGCCTGAAGTGTAAAGCGGAGATCTTCAAGCACTATCCTGCAGAGCTCAGATACAACATCTAACATCTGAAACCCAACAGATCCACAACACTAATTACCTGATTCATTTATTATGAAAATACTCATCAGTTGCAGATATTAAAGAGATGATCTACCTGACAGCAGGTCCTGTGTTTCCACTCTTAAATTGTATTGGGGGAAGCATAGACTGGTCACTCTTCATAGACACACAGCTGGGCTCTGCTTCTGCTCTCTTCTGATGAACTGAACTAAAACAGAGAAGATTAAAGTTCAGCGCTGCACACACTGGAGTCAACACAGCAGATTTACTCAACATTTCATCATTAAAACACTGTTTAAACAGCACTTCATGATACTTTTTTATGATGATTGTACAAAATCTTGCTGACTGTGTGTGTTAAATATTCAGACAGATTAAAAACACAACTAACAGAGAGTAAATATAATATCCTGTAGAAAATCATCATATGAAATGTCAAGTGTAGGTCTAATACCTGCATCCTGTAGACAAATCCTGATCTCCAGCAGTGTGTGTGTTACCCATGATGGATCTGAAGAGTTTGATTTCCAGCAGAAACTGATGAACAATCAAAGATCTCCAGTCATTGATCAGCCTTCATAATTCAGCTGAATGCAGGAATAGATCAGCAGCTGAGACACTCAAATCCAGAAGCTCATCACGAGTAAATTAATGAAGAATCACAGCGTCATCCGTTTGATTATAATAACATCATACACACATTCACATAAAGCTTACAGGTTTTGTCCAGACATTAAAGATTTAAAGCTGTTCTGCGCTGGTAAATGATGAATTTTGGTTGTTTAAAACTGCAACACAACAACTAAACACTTTCACTTTCGTTTCTGAAGGGCGGTGTTGTGCCGAAAATTGTGATCACTGACCAGGGGGCGCTGTTGCACGAAATATTCGAGGTGGGGAAGACTGCAGACTTGGATCCAGACAGATCTATTCTGCATATTATCTAGTGAGTTTATAACTCGCTTTCTGAAACATTAACTTGGCGTTTATATTTAGCCTAATTAAATAAAAAATATATATTATGAACAGGACATTTAATAATCTGGGAGCGTTGACTTAAAATGTTTTATTTGGCCATGTATCTTTCTTTCATCCCCTCGACTGGACGCATTAGGAACAACAGGGGCGAAAGCTGATCCAAGTCTGCAGACGCCCCATATAGGGAATAATTACTCGGGAACGCCCTTGGCCGCTCATGCACGCGACCATGACCGCGCAGACACTGGAATCAAGCGATCCGCGCTGTAAAGCGTGTTTTATATGCGGGATTCAGCAGACATGATCATATTGAAGATCATAGGAAATATTTTGGAGAACTTTGATTCACTGAACAGCGACTCCTGATCACAGATTTCATCTCAACTGCGTCACATCAGGAGTTCAGTAATACACCCGCACAAACACTCTGAACACAGCAGACAGAGACATGCGGGGCCCAAAGGACATGCGGGGGTTCACATTCAATCACACGACATGCAGGAGGATACATGCGGGACTTTACATAAAGTAGTGTAAACGCAGGACGCGAGACAGACTGTAAACACGACACACACCGCTTCTTCTTCTGCCTGTGTGCTGAGTCAGAGAGCAGAGCTGCACACCGCCACCTGCTGTACTGGAGAGAGAAACATCAGTCCTACTCCAACATCAGAGATACTATGAAGCATATAACTGACAAGCACACAGGATTATATGATAACATAACAGATGTAACAGTCATACAAAACTGAGAGATGCAGAACACACATTAAACAAGAGAAATGAACATATATGATATATTTAAATGATTAGACTGTACAGAAAATTTTCTTCATTATTAGAGAGTTTTTTAAAGCTTTCTTGTGTCTTGTAATTGAGGTCAAATATTATAAAATATTTGTAAATCTCTACAGAACAAATTAAAGGAGGGAGTAAGAGACTTTGCCTTGTGTCTGTGAAACTTCCCAAGCTAAATGATCAACTTCAGAGCATTATCGAGCGCATCATAGCCAGTTTTACAACTCAGAAGAAGAATCATGCACTCCTCAAAATTAATTATGCTGTAAAATAAATCAGAAATCAACCCTGAAACCTGTTTCCAGAAATCCTCAGAGAATGTACAAGTACAGAAGAGCTGTAGAAGACTTTCAGGCTCAGTGTTACAGCAAGAGCATTGTGCTGAAATGTCTGATTAAATGTATTAATAAATATATAGCAGGGGTAACACCCGTCTAATCTTCTGAAATGAACTTCTTTGACCTTATTTGGGAGTAAATGGTATTACTTGTTGACCAAATATCATCTATAAAAGGTCAAGAGAAATATTGTTTATATTTCAGAATGTCTTTGGGGAAACAGTGACTATTGTGAACGAGACATTTCCTGATGTGGAAGTTTTTACACTTTTGATCTGAGATACTGAGACCACCAAGCACAGTGTTTGAGTTTGCTTTGAGACTGAGTTATAAGTCAGATGAGTTTCATTAAGTAAAGCAGTTTATTAGAGATGCTTTCCACAATCACGTTATAATCATCATGCAAAAACACAGTCCCTGAAGAGGAAAGCATTTCCTGATGAGTGTAAATCTCACCACTGCTACTCAGTAAATCTGAAACTCAAATAATCCCCTTGTCAAGCCAATCTGTTTTACATAGACTTTTGTTTTTGTGCAGCACATGCTGGTTATTCCACAGAATGCTGGTGTGTGGAGAAAAGTTCTGTTTAAAGGCAATTGCGAGAGGTCTCGAGTACAAATCCCGGACGAGCCCCCAATAAATGTTACGACCACAGTCACAACATCAAATAAGGAAAAACACAAACGGATCGGTCTAGGGGTTTTATTAACTGAATAACCAAATATAAACAAAGCATGGGGAGAAAACAGAATAAACGAAGGCTGAACACAAAAGGAGCACCACTCCACGTCTGGACGGCCGCTCAAATCCCCGTCACTGAAACACTGCAGCGCGAGCTCTTAAATCACCAACGGTCAACGATCTGGAGGTGTGGAGGAATCAACTTAAAATCAAATCACAAACAGCAACACAACACTAGAGGGCGACAAAGTAACATAAATAAATAAGTAATAAATACATGGACATGTAACATCCACACTTCTAATGATTGCTTATGAAAGGTTGATCATTTAATGGAAAGTTTAGTACATTTGGAGTCACAAGAAAGCAAAAAGTTAAATCCAGCACATTTGTCAAAGAAGAGATCTGTAATATAAAACCAGTGAATGACTTTGGGAAAGGCAGTGCTTCATCTAATTCATTTTACAGTTTTTTACAACTGCTATGACACTTTTATCAATACATTTAACAAGTTTCCTAAACTCTTAACACAGTTAGCACAACATCCGTCTTCGTGGGCTATACAATTAACACATTTCTTGTTGTTTTAACACAAAATGCATCCAGTTAACACAAATTTAAAATGCTTTAACTTCTTTTACACACAAGCACAACTAAGAACAAAACAATGTAATTTTACAGTCAAATTTACAAATGCTTTAACACAGTATGTCAGAACAGATAACACCATGTTTTAAACAGAAATTATATAGGATAAAGGCAAAAGGAACAGCTGTTCTAATTGTGAATTGAAACACAAGTTTATTCCCTGTATTTTATTCAATTGCCAATGAGAAACAGCATATTGCGGTTATATAAATAAATAAATAAATGTATATATATATATAAACTGCAATATGAGTCTCTCATATATATATATGATATATATATGACAGCTGATTCCCATCTAGAAAGCACACTCATGTCTTGTTTTGGTTTTTCCAATCACATGATCATATGTTCTAATAGAGTACTCTTGAGGTTTTTGAAAGGAACATCAAAGAACTCTGTCACCAATACATTCATGTAAGATTATGCAATACAGTCCTTACTGTACTATACACAGTGTGTTTTGCAGTAAACTACTCTTTAAACCTGGAGTTCATTAGTACATACAGTACATATACAGCATTTGCATACAGTGAGTCTAATTACTTTCAGAGAGTCATGAAGTTAGAGGCCAATCAAGTACCACATGAAATTTTCAATGTTGACAAGGCTGGGGATGTCGCCGTAGGAAAAACATAATAGGCCACAGTTACCGTGCCGGTCCACAGAAGATATCAAGTATAATGTGGATGAGAACATGTGGCAAAAGACCGGGCAGTATAGAAGATTACTTTGTTATTTTATTATAATTGTGGTGCTTTTCCTGTTTGCAGTGATGTCCTTCTGCAAAAAAAGTCTGTACTGCAGAAATTCTGTGTCTGTATTTTTTTTACATAAATTGTAAATTTTATAAAGCATAGAATTTTGTATAGTTTTGTATAGAATTTTTGCCGTAAACGAAAGAAAATGCATGCATTTACTTAACCCAACGAAACAAAACTGTAACCAGACTTCAAATATAAGGGCAGAGCTGACACATAAACTAATGGAGTTTCTGTAATGTCAGCTGATGATAGTGTTTTTATTGTCAGTGTTTTCTGATTGACTAAATGTTTATGTTGGAAGAGAACATGTGTTTGTGTTTTGAACAATAATTTCATTTTGAAACATGATTGCAGTGTTTTGTTAGACATGGTGTAGTGTGTTCGTTTATTATTGTATTTTGAAAAGTAGTTTAGAGGTTTAGTTTATAATGTGTGATTTTGAGCATAAAATTAACTGTTTTGCCAATTGTGTATTTTAGGTGTGTTGTTGCGTTAAGAGTTTAGCAAACTTGTTAAATGTATTGAAAAAAGTGTCATAGCCATTGTAAAAAAACTGTAATGTCTTTTATTTAGGCTGCTATGGTTAGTGTTAATCACACTATTAATACATATAGCATGGAAAGCCAAAAGAAAATTAAAGTGTCAGCCTGAAGAAATTATTTATGACATCATAACCATTCTTACCTGCTTGTTTTTTAATTCAGTATCATATTAGTTATGTGTGAGAAATAAATAATATACATAAATGAAACCACTGAAGCTCCAACAATTAATTACCTTATAAAAGGTTTAAAAAAAAAAAAAAAAAAAAAACATTTACAATGAGAATGTTTAATCTATGGCAAAATTCAAAAACACACAGACATCAACAATTAGTCTTTGAATCTCAATGATGGTGAAAAACAAAAAAATAAAAATCAAGTAAAAAAACACTCCACTGAAATATCACCTCCCAAAAACAACACAAAATAAAGGAAAAGAAAGAGATTGTAAGAACATAAAGCTGCATAATTTATTCATGCTGCAATGCATGCTGGGAGCTTTGTACTATGCTGGCACCCAGCATGCATTGCGGCATGAACTATGCAGCTTTTTTTTTTTTAGCAACCACGGTTGAGGTTCATATCCTGATTCTTGATGTCTGTGTGTCATAATGAGCAAGCTGGAGCTTGAATGTTTAGTGCATGACACTCTAATTATTAATTGCATCCTAATTGTTTGTTGAATTTTGTATGAAGAGCAGCAGACTGCCAGAAGTATTGTCCCATGCAGTTTTAATACAACTATATTTGCCAATTTTTATGAATCAATTTATTAAACACCTGAAATTATATCTAGAATAATTAAGTATTAACAATATAGTTTCTCTTGACCTTTCTTGCTAAAATTGTTTTGTTTTAGAAACACAGCTATAACAGTCAGAGAAACATTAGAATGTAAAAGTAAAGCTTCAAGAGCTCAAATAAGCAGCCTCTGATCTCTATGATGGTGAGGTCAAATGAAATATTTTTAATAAAAAAATATTCTTACAGAAATGAAGTCAAACTGTAATCAGTGAAGCTGCTTATGCTATTATTTAATGGAGTTGTTTAATCCTCTGTTTTAATTCAGTTGGTTTGGTGTGAGGCTGTGTCTGTAGTTTTATTTCTTCCTTCAATTTCTTATTCCTTCAGTGATTGTGCTTGATAACAGCAGGTGTTCAACAGCAGGTGTCTGAATTCACTTATTTGTGGTCATTCCCTCTGTCTAGTGGACTAAACTAATTGACTAATTTAAGGGCCAGGTGAATGAGGGTATATGGCGAGATTTCAGACACTCTGATTAGTTTCTCAAATATAAGGGTTTTCTAAAAAGGTAGATACATGTTACTTTTTGTGACAAGGAGGCAAATCAGCTTCTAACGCTGAGAGGGTTATTTTACCTTTATCTAACTCTAGAATTTTAACACTTTACTCTGAATTACCACAACACTAGAAATTTAACACCAATGAATTTGCTGTGTGCATTGAACTTTGAGCATTATACATTCAGAGATGCTGTTTATGTTCACACAGCTACATTACACATCAACTAAAGTTTAAAATATGAGATCATAGTGGACCACCCCTTTAAGTCTAAATTACACTTCAATCTGAATAAAAGACTATAAAATACTTAAAGGGACTTTGTCTGAATACTGTCTTGCAAAATTACTAGTAAAATGTTCTGCACTGACTGTCAGCATAAAAAAGTAACGTTAGATATTAGAAACGAGTTAGTTAAACTATTGTTTAAAAATGTGTTGTAAATAAATCATGTGTTCAAGACGGAAATCAGTTGAATATGACTTACATGAGCGTGACTAAAAACTACATTTGATCAATGTGTTACATCTGTTCTACATGTGTCATTAAGTTTGACATGTTTCCTACTTTTGTAAAGACAGTTGCTGTGTAAAAATCCTTGCTTGTAAAATTTGCTTTAGAATGCTTAGTTTAGGCAAATTGGATGAACGTGATCACGCATGTTGATCTGAAGAGTGTCGCTCTCGCTCACCGAAAACCACTGGTTCCAGGCTAAATGCGCTGTACTGCGTGCGTCTGTTCCCTAGCGACAATAACAATTGCTTGATATTGCTTGTCTGTATTCCTCAAAGTTGTTTAGAATTAAATGTTTAGTGATGCTGTGACACAATGCCTATATGTGCCTTTTTTCATGCACCCCTCACGTTCATGCCGCAGCACCGAAATTAAGCACCGAAATTCATATGCTGATTTAATACCGATACATACCGGTTACCAAGGTAGCGGTGCTAAAATGGCACCGGGTTTCGGTAACCAACCCTGATACACACTGATCATGTCTACAGTTTATCTCCAGTGTGAATCCTCTGATGTGCTTTCAGGGTTCCTGAGTGAGCAAACCTCTTACTGCAGTGTGAACACTTGTACAGTTTCTCTCCAGTGTGAATCCTCTCATGTGTTTTCAGGGTTCCTGAGTGAGTAAACCTCTTACTGCAGTGTGAACACTTGTACGTTTTTTCTCCAGTGTGAATCCTCTGGTGCCGTTTCAATTCTGCAGCTGTAATAAAAGTCTTCTCACACTCCAAGCACATATACTCTCTCACACCAGTGTGGATCTTCATGTGTTTTTTAAGGTATGATTGGCTAAAACTCTTCCCACAATGAGTGCATTTGAATGGTTTCTCTCTAGTGTGAATCATAAGGTGTTGATTAAGGTGTGATGAGTGGATGAAACTCTTCCCACACTGAGTGCATGTGAAAGGTTTCTCTCCAGTGTGGATCCTCATGTGTACATTAAGGCATGATGATTGGATGAAACTCTTCCCACACTCAGTGCAAGTGAATGGTTTTTCTCCGGTGTGGATCTTCATGTGTGTATAAAGCGATGATGATTTACTGAAACTGTTCCCACACTGAGTGCATGTGAATGGTTTCTCTCCAGTGTGGATCCTCATGTGTTGATTAAGGGATGATGATTGGCTGAAACTCTTCCTACACTCAGTGCAAGTGAATGGTTTTTCTCCAGTGTGGATCTTCATGTGTCTATAAAGCGACGATGATTTGCTAAAACTCTTCCCACACTGAGTGCATGTGAATGGTTTCTCTCCAGTGTGGATCATCATGTGTTCATTAAGGTGTGATGAGCAGTTAAAACTCTTCCCACACTGAGTGCATCTGAATGGTTTCTCTCCAGTGTGGATCCTGATGTGTTGATTAAGGTGTGATGAGCAGTTAAATCTCTTCCCACACTGAGTGCAAGTGAATGTTTTTTTACCGGTGTGGATCTTCTTGTGTCTATAAAGTGATGATTTGCTGAAACTCTTCCCATATTGATAGCATGTGAATGGTTTCTCTTCATTGTGAATCCTCATGTGAGTCTTTAGTTTGCTTTTGCTTGCCAAACTCTTTCCACACTGAGTGCAGGTTAAACAACTCTTGTCTCTCACTTTTAAAATACCATCAGTCACTAAATGAGTTTTGTCCTCAATTTTGACATGATGTTCCTCTTTAATCTCATCGTAGTCTTTAATTAGGTCTGAAATAAAAATAAGTTTACTTTTTAGTAAATCATTAAAACTCTCAGTGAAAAGGCACTTAAAAAAAAATTCTCATTAGAACAACTTTAATTTATCACACCAACTTCAAGTTCTCTAGCCACACCCAGACCTGATTACTACCACACATGTTCGCAATCAAGAAATCACCTAAATAGGACCTGTCTGACAAAGTGAAGTAGACCAAAAGAGCTTCAAAAGCTAGACATCATGCCAAAATCTAAAGACCTTTAAACACAAATGAGAAAGAAAATACTTATGTCACGAGTTAAAAAAAGAGTGAATGGCTTTTCCCACAGCTGGTGGAGGAGACGAGAGTACGGTTGGAGTTCACTGTAGTGCATACATTTGTTTTCACTGTAAAATCCTCACCGCGTGCGCAGATTTAGGAGACATTTATGCAGAACGCATCTTTGCACCTAAAAGCGCCAAACGCAGCACTCAGGAACAGATTAAAACAGTTGTTATGTGAACTTGAAGTAAAAAAAGTCTGCAATGCTTGCCCCGCCGTTGTGCTCTATTTATTGGCTCACTGCTCTACAACTGAATGCAAATGATTGGTTAATATCAGCTGTCAATCACTCAGTCAATGCCTTCTGCCTTCAGATGATGGGAGGTACAGCTGCGAATATGTGAGGCACTGAAGATGAGAGAATGAAAATAACAGACAATAATGGCGCATCTTATTAGTAATCATGTGCTGAATGTTAATCCACCATTTACACTTTTCCAAGAGTGGATAAAAGACTTCTAGTGGCTTTAAGTCCGCTGGTAACCGTATTTGGCACTGAATCTACACATTTAAGCGCGAGAGGTATTGTATAACCCTTCATTTAATCCTCACGATGCTGTCAGCCATGCAAGCAGCAGCTATATGTAACATTTAACACAGCTTATAAAAAGACTGTTATTGCTATTACGATGACATGCAAATAATAAGTTAAATATCAATATAAATGTGGGGCGGGGCGATGGATCATGATGCAGGCCCAGCATCGTGAAGTTTGTCGGCCATCGGCAATGGCATCTAGAAAATTAATACAATTGATCAGCTACACTCAACATCATCTTCTGAAGAGCTTCATAAGAAAATACTTATTCTGCAAGCGGAATGACTCCTTGAGGATCTCCACATAAGATCACGCCAGATTCATTATGAACATGGTGAACGAGCTGGCAGGTTATTGTGTTACCAACTGAAACAATCCTCAGCAGCTGGTGTTATAGTAGCAGTTAGTAAGGATGATGGCAGTATTATTACTGATAAACAGGGTATTAGTGATCAATTTAAAAAACTTTTATAAAACTCTTTACAACTCTGAGGTAAAGGAAATTGAACGCATTAAAAGCTTTTTTAATTATTAAGAATTACCATCCCTCTGTGATTTAGATCAGTTGACAAAAGAAGGAATTTTAACACCTTCTGAAATTGAAAATACAATAATAATAAAAAAAAAAAATCAGAAAAGCACCAGGCCCCGATGGCTTTCCGGCTGAGTTTTATAAGAAAGAAGTTTTGTGCCAAGTTAACACCCCTGTTGTGCAAGGTCTTCGCTAAAGCTCTTGTATCGGAATCACTCCCCCCTTCATGACATCGGCTGTTATAACAGTACTTCTTCAAAAGGGTAAGGATCCACTTAAATGTGAATCTTATCATCCGATCAGCTTACTCTGCTGTATAAAATCATGGCTAAAGTGCTGGCAATTAGAGTGCAGTCATGAGAAAGATAATTCACCCAGATCAAACTGGTTTTATTGTTAAAAGACAGTTATCTTATAACCTATGTGCTTATTTAATATTATTTATATTATATTATATATATATTATTTTAGTATATACCTAAAAATAATACTAATCCAAAGGACTTAATTTCTTTAGATGCCCATAAAGCATTTGAAAGAATAGAGTATATCTATTCATTTACAGTGCTTAAAAATTTGGTTTTGACCCTGGACCAAATGGCTTGTTTCCACTGACTGGTACAGTATGGTACAGTTTGGGTCGGTATGGGTCACCTTTATCAGGCTTGCGTTTCCACTACCAAGGGTACCCTTTTGGTGGGCGTGGTGTATGACAAAGTTTTAGTCGACGTCATTTTCACTCAAGAAAATGTCTACAGTAAAGCTGCACAGGTCGTTCACATATCATATGAAAAGCACTTCTCACAAAACAGGTGCTTTACACACATAAATACTTGAGTATAAATGTTTATTACTAACTTTTCTATGAACATTAGTTGATTATAACTGCAGATCAATGACGGTGCGAAAAAGCCTACTGTAACATCTGTAATTATATAAAGTTAATAAATAAATGAAGATATATGAACACATACAGACCCTTATAGTCTCCGATATGTTACCAACTACAAAAGAACTACACAAAGCAGACATTTCGTCCTTAATTAAGTTCAAAACAACACAAAGTATAGCCGCTCTAGGCAGAGGATGATCATGCCGCCCTCAACCCCAATGTGAAAATGAAAGTGACCGGTTATGAAAATGAAGTGAGGTGTCGCAGACCTCTTTTTCAGCACACTATGCGCGGATATAACTGAGGACGCGCGGGTGCTGAAGGAGGGAGGGAGGGAGGTGTCGCGGACACTGCGCTCTCTATTCTGCCGCCCTATGCGTGGATGTAACTGAGGACGTGCGGGTGTCGCGGACCTCAATTCTGCCGCCCTATGCACGGATATAACTGAGGACACGCGGGTGCTGATGGAGGTGTCGCTGACACCGCCCTCTCTATTCTGTCATCTGTATATCTGAGGACGAAGGTGGTGAGGGAGGTGTCGCAGATGCCACCCTCTCTATACTGCCGCCCTAGGCAGCCGCCTAGGTCGCCTCTATGGATACGCCGACCCTGAGTATAGCCTCCAGTCAGTGAAAACCTCTCATCTGTGTCTGTAATAATCAGCAGCACATGTAGCCTCTGTTATAGAGTCATTCCATCATTCCCAGTTCATATTAGTCTAAAAGGTGATAATAAAGATTAAGACAAGGCAGTCTGTTCACGTTTGCTGAAGAAATAACGTGCTCCTTGGCTTCGCCTTTTTTCCGCGCTCCACTCCCGCGTTTGTCCTTTTCTTTCTGATTGTGTCACAGAATGTGTCCTGCGTTTGTCAGCTTCTCACAGGACCGGGTTTCCAAAGCTTGTCAATAATCAAGTGCATGTTATTATTATCAGCTCAAGAAGTTTGTCATTTCAGATAGAGACGCGCGGCGAGCACAAGGAAGAAAGCGAAACCACTCAGGCTTCAGACTGGCTCATAAAAAACTATGCGGCACAGGGTAAATCCGCTCTTCTCCATGGCTTTGTGGCTGTTTATCAAGATGACGACAGGGTTTGTTTGAGCCCGGATCGACCATGGCTGCATATGTATTTATAATTCCGCTGTAATCTCTCGCTGTGTATTTTAAACATGGCGGGTCCTTTATTTAGATTCTGGCTTGTCGAATGACGTGTCTCTGTAAACCAATAGCGTTCAGCTGCGCGTCTAGCTCCGCCTTTTAGGGCCTACTCACACTATGCCATCCGTACCGTGCCCAGGCCCCTTTCCCGGATCGTTTGAGAAGTGTGAGTGCGCTGAATCGGGCTCAAGCACGGTTCACTTGGCCGGCCCTGGCCCGGTTGGAAGAGCTGGGCCTGAGCGCGGTTCACTTGGGCTTTGGCGCGGTACGCTTGTGTGTGAGTGCAAAACACGCCAAAGCCCAAAACTGAAAGCGAGACGTGACTTTTAAGGGAGTGTTTCATATGGATTTATTAATCATTCTACTGTTCAGTGAACGCAAGCTGCCGTATTTTATTAAAGACGAGAACTCCTCACAGCACGACAGCTGCGCGGCTTCAGCAGACCTCCTCATTCCTGCAGCACGAGAGCTTTATGATTGTTTATGAGCGCCAAAAGTGGCGGATCTGTTCGGCGAAATATCTGACTGCGTGTCACCACATCCCTAAGGACTGTTTGGCGAAATATTTGACTGCATGTCACTGCATAACAAACCACTGAAACGATATAACTAGAGAAATCTCCACTGTGCTGCTGAGAGAGCGCTTCTCACTGAACAGCGCAGCAGTGATGACGTAAGCGTGCCGAGGCCCGTTTGTGGTGTGAGTGCGGGCCGTCGGGGCAGACAGGATGGGGGACAAGCGTGCTTTGGCCCGGTTCGAGGCAACTTTACCTAGTGTGAGTACGGCCTTAGTGTTTGGGACCCTTTCAAAAGGGTGCCAAAAAAGTGGTACGGTACGTTTGGTTCGGTACGCCTTTTAACAGTGGAAACGGCCATAAAAGCGTACCAAACCGAACCACTTAGTGGAAACGGTCCATAAGAGCTTGATTAACATGGTAAACAATATAGAGACTTCTAAATGAATGAATGTGCGAATATAAAACCAACTTTACCTCTATATGACTGAGTTGGTGTTTGAGAATGAAAACCAACCTGTTTGTTCCTGCAGATCTTCCTGTTTGACTGTGAATGTTTCTTCAATCTTCACATCTTCACTCTCCTCTTTAATAAACGCCATCTTTATAACAGTGTGGAGATCAGTCGCTTCAGCAGGATTTTTTTCTCTGTGTTTGGACACTTTATCCTGTTTAAAATGAACAAAACAATAAAAATGTCCTGTTTAAATAAGTAAAAAAAATTAACAGAAATAAAATAACTTCTCTTCAACACTTGCTTCAACAGTAACAATAACGAAATCAGGTATGTCCAAGCATAGAGGTAAAGTTGGTTTTATATTCGCACAATCAGACTTTTCTCTTAATAATATAACTTCATGAAAGTATTATTT